GGTATTTGATAAAGACCAAAAAGTTCCCAGCATCAGAGCTGTGCATCTTTGCAAGTCAGAGCTTGGGGAAGGCATGAGAATCGAGGACCATCAGTTTTACTCAGAGACGATTTGAGGGGAAAAGTAAATTAACTGTACAGGAAGGAAATGCATCATTTTAATATTTTAACAAACAAACAATGTGAAGAATGCAAAGCTTCCGCGGTTTTAAAAATAAAAGGCAGAATTTCACAGAATTTGCAAGACTGTAATAGCTCATGCTTTTCAGAACTCTGAGGGTTTGCTTTTCTCTTTTCTCTTTTTCAAACCTATGTTTGCTTTTCTCTAGGAGTAAAATTTGTCTTCTGGCTGCTCAGCCAGTGTACTTGGCTTTGAACATGACAATCCTTCTTAGTGACTCAAACAGGAAACTAGTGTCTGAAAATCAGTTAGGCGGTCATATAATTTACCGGCCAAACTGAAACAATTTTGAGAGTGAAAGAGGGTGCTATTAATAATTACATGGGTGAAGCCTAAAAGTAGGGTCACCGAAGCTGTAAATCACAGATGCTCCGGTTTTATCTGAAGAAAAATTTACTTTAAAATGAATATTTTTTAGTAGCAAATCAATTAAAAACAATTCAGAATTTGCTAACTATTTTTCTTCTGATTTTCCATTCTCTTTTTATTGTAATGATAAAAAAAAAAAAAGTCTGTTAAGGGCGGCGCCTGTGGCTCAAGGAGTAAGGTGCCAGCCCCATACGCTGGAGTGGGGTGGGGGGGTGAGGGTGGCGGGTTCAAACCTGGCCCCAGTCCAAAACTGCAAAAGTAAAAGTCTGTTTTTAAAAAAGTGAGTTAAAGGTCCCTTCTCTTTATGCATCTCAGCTCCTAATTTTGGTCCTCAGAGGTAGCCGCTGCCATCAGCTTAAATAGTACCCTTCCCGATATTTCCAATGCATAGAAAAACATTGAACTGTTACTAATGGAGCCATATTTGAAAAGATCTCTCAGAGGGTGAATACATTGGCTTCATGGTATGAAATGTAATGAATCTGTTGTCAAAATGCTATTTATAGTAACTATATTGGTTTTCTAGGCCTGTTGTAACAAAGTACCATAAATGGAGTAGCTTAAAACAACAGAAATAAGATTGTCTTACAGGTCTGGAGGCTGGAGGTCTGAGATCAAGGCATTGGTTCCCTCTGGAACCTGTGTGGAAATCCTTCCTTGTCGCTTCCTAGCTTTGGTGGCTGGCTTGCAGTCGTTGGCATTTGGAGACTTGCAGCTGCCTAATTCTTATCTCTTCCTTTGTCATCACACGGGCATTCTCTTGATGTGTCTCTCCCTCCACTTGGCCATTTTCTTATAAAAACACCAGTTACATTGAATTAGGGACCACTTTACTCATCTAACCGTGTACAGGTAGAACCTTCATAGTTGACCACCTCCTTAAGTTGCCCTAAACTGCATAAACCAGAAATGGACCACATGTACTTAACCAGTACCAATAGATCTAGCTGCTTATATTGACCACCTCCATATGTTGACTAGTTCATTACAGTTCCTTGGGTGGTCAATTTATAGAGGTTCTATTGCAGTTCTATCTACAATGACCATATTTCTAAATAAGGTCACATTCTGAAATACGGTGGTTAGAACTTCAAATGTATCTTTTTTAAGGGGGGCACACAATACAATCCATAACAGCAGGTAAGCTTTGTAAACCAATAAATTAAGGCTACCAACTGTAACAGATACTCAGTAATATCTGGAATTTGGGTGGGCGGTGCCTGTGGCTCAAAGAAGTAGGACGCCAGAACCTATGCCAGAGGTGTCGGGTTCAAACCCAGCCCCAGCCAAAAACTGGAATTTGGTTCTTTCTTCCCGTGCTTGAGAGAATTTATATTGGCAATTATTTATTTATTTATTTATTTTAGAGACAGAATCTCACTTTATTGCCCTTGGTAGAGGGCTGTGGTGTCACAGCTCATAGCAACCTCCAGCTCTTGGGCCCAGGTGATTCTCTTGCCTCAGCCTCCTGAGTAGCTGGGACTACAGGCACCCACCACAATGCCCGGCTATTTTTTTTTGCAGTTTGGCCCGGGCTGGGTTTGAACCCATCACCCTTGGTATATGGGGCTGGCGCCCTACCCAATGAGCCACAGGCGCCACCCATATTGGCAATTATTGATAGACGTAGAGAACCTGCATGAACTGACCTCAGCTAACCACAATCCTCAATTCACTGAAAAAATTTTATTTTCAAAAGAGTGGCCATTAGCAACTCTCAAAATAACCTATTATCATGGGAATAACGTATTAAATATTGAGTAGATACAAAACATTATTTATAAATATGTGTACAGGCTTGCGCCTGTAGTTCAGTGGTTAGGGCGCCAGCCACATACACTGAGGCTGGTGAGTCTGAACCAGCCTGGGCCTGCTAAACAACAATGACAACTATAACAAAAAAATAGCCGGGCATTGTGGCAGGCACCTGTAGTTCCAGCTGCTTAGGAGGCTGAGGTAAGAGACTTGTTTAAGCCCAAGAGTTTGAGTTGCTATGAGCTATGATGCCACAGCACTCTACCGAGGGTGGCATAATGAAAGTCTGTCTCAAAAATAAATAAATAAATAAATAAATATGTGTACAGTAAGAAAAATTCTAATAACAATGAATACCTGTGTAGCCCTACAACACAATTTTTTTTTTTCTGAGTCTTACACTGTCACCTGGGCTACAGTGCTATGGTTGCCTCACTCCACCTCACTATGACCTCAAACTCCTGGGCTTAAGTGATCCTCCTGCCTCAGACTGCAGAATACCTGGAGCTACAGCTCATTTTTCTAGTTTTTAATAGAGATAGGGTCTTCCTTTTGCTCAAGCTGGTCTGGAACTCCTGAGCTCAAGGGATCCTCCCACTTAGCCTCCCACAGGGCTATGATTACAGGCATGAACCACCACACCCAGCCGTATGCCACAATTTAAAAAATAAAACATTACCATTATCCTTGAAGTATAGTTTTTAATGACATTTAATTTAATTTAAAATGTATTTATTTTCAATATATGTATTTTTAATGGTAAAATTAATATATTGATAGAAGCTTGTTATCAAAAATATGTATAATTTAGAATTATATAGAACAAAAATTTAAAGTTTACCCATGTACCTCTAGACAAGATATATCACACTTTAGGATTGAGGAAGTACCATAACATGTTTGCACCCTAGTTTATATAACCAATCACCTGTGTTTAAGTTGTTACCATTTTTCTACTATTACAGATAATGTTGTAGGAAACATCTTTTTACATAAAACACTGCACCCTTGTGTAAGTCTATCCACAAGGTAAATCCCTAAATGTGGAAATGCTGGATAAAAGGCATGAATGTGCATCTTAAGTTTACATGCATTTGAGTTAGTTTCCTAGTATACCGTGTTAAAAATGGTTCCACATAAAATAATGGTTGCAAGAGTCTTTGGGGGAATCCTAACACGTTAACTTTAATATTCTAGCCTACATATAACCCAATTGAGTATCCTCCATACAAAAATAGACTCTATTGACAAAGGAGTCCAGGGAAAGTCCCATGATGCTAGGTGGAATTTCCTGGGGCAAGTACTTTACTGTTACACTAGAGGGCTAGTCATTCATTTGACTAATATGTCCCCTACCTACTGGATTTTCATACACCTCGGTCCAGTTCCTCCTCTTGGGCTCTAGACTCCATCCCCTTGAAAGATCTGCTCAAGGACAGAGCTCTGCGATTTTCTCTTTTCTCTTCCATAACACCTATTTTCTATGTCTCTCGAATAATTTTGAATATAACAATCATGATGTTTTTCACATTTCTCTATTCACCTTTATAGTAAAACCTCTAATTTTCTAGGCTTTCTGATTTAATTTCTCTCTTCTCATTTTCACTTGAATCTACTCCAGTCAGGTTTTCATATTTATTTCTCTACTAAAATTGCTTTTTTTTTTTTTTTTTTTGAGACAGAGTCTCACTATGTCTCCCTTGGTAAGGCACTGTGGGGTCACAGTTCACAGCAATCTCCAACTCTTGGGCTTAAATGATTCTCTTGCCTCAGCCTCCCACGTAGCTGGGACTACAGGCGCCTGCTGCAACGCCCTGCTATTTTTATTTTTGTTTTTTGGTTGCAGTTGTCATTGTTGTTTAGCAGACCTGGGCTGGATTCGAACTCGCCAGCTTTGGTGTGTATAGCTGGCGCGCTAGCCACTGAGCTCCACTACAGGCACTGAGCCTCAGACTGCTGTTATTAAGAATATCAGTGACCTCTACATTTCTTTTTTTAAAAAATACTTTTTTTCATTGGATACACTGTTCCCAGAGAGCGGGTGGGCGGGTGGGCGGGTGGGGGTGGGGGGGAGAGACGAATGCAAAACTGAGCCTGTCATATAAATCAGTGTATAGTCGGACAAATCTATGAGGATGGTAACATTTCTGTGTTCAAAATTCCTTTCGCAGAGAACAAAACAATAGTGGAATTGAGGGGAGGGGGCGTCTGACTTCGCTTTATTCAGCTTCCTCTTCTGTCAAATGAGAATAAACATTGACAAACATGTTAAACTCCGTAAAATGGGAATATCACTACTTACCTCACAAGTAAATAGTACTGTCAGTTTTGAATGAGACATACAAAAACTTAAATTCGGGCCAGGTTCAATTCTTTCTTTGTGTAAAGTCTGGGTAATTTTTGCGTGTTGTCTCTTGACTCCCAATTCAGTGCTCCTTGCTCTTTGGCTCTATTTTCTGGACGTTATTTGAAAGAGGAGGAGCCAAATAGGGCTCTTCATTTACAGAACTGTGGCGGGAAGTGGAAGCAAAGCAAGTTTGAAAGTTGAAGCGTCTCGATTCTGAGTTCACGTCTTCGCCTATAAAACAAACGTCATTCACCTAGTTTGACCCTCGAGGGTACCCGGTCCGTCCGCCTTAAGGCGCACGCGCAGACGCGCGCTGCCCTTTCGGTTGCACGCTTCTGCCGCTTTGACAATGGCGGTTCGCAGAGCGGGTTTGTTCACCCGTTTGATACTGTGTGCCCATAGAAGAAGTCGAGTCCAGCGCCCGGTCCTCAGGCTTCTCAGTTGCCCAGGAACTGTGGCCGAAGGCCTCAGGAGAGACGAGCCGCTTTCGGGGAGCGCGGAGACAGGTGATGGCGCCGTGGCCTCGGTTTACTCTGTTGCCCCGTCCCACAGCGGGCCAGGTAAGGGGGAAGAGACCGGGATCGCGGGCGAACGCGTGGCGCGTGGAAACTGTCCCGGAACTTTTGGCGAGAGGGTGAGGCTGTGTCCCGTCCTCCTTTGATCTCGCCAGGGACCCTTGGGGTCGCCGCTGTTGCTGATGTAAAAGTGGGCTGCTTGTGACATTTTGTTCCGGGCGACTCCTGTTAAAAATCTCTGTGAAGTTCAAGTCAAGGACGCAGTTTGCTAGTATTTTGCAATTTGGCGAAGTAGCGTTCCCGGTAATAATAGTAACGCCACACCTGAATCAGTTGCTTCGTTATTTATATTTATTTCTAATTTTGATATATTAAGTTGTTGCTGGAGGCCGAGTATAGTGTCCGAATAACCAGGATTCCTAGATCCTAGACGTAGGGTTTTACCTATGAAAATTATTGCCGTTTACTTTATTCTTTTGACCATTTTGAGCAAAATCAGTCTGGTTACAGATTTGCATCCACTGGAACAGGGTGTCGTATCGCGGAGGTTCTAAATTTCTGTGCTGCGTTGTGTATGAAGTTCACTAGTATTGACCCCCCGCTCCCCTTGAGCGTGTGTATGGCATTTACAGTTCTTAAAACAATCTTGAAATAAATGTATCACTGTTTCCATTATACCGATACTGGAAAGGTTCAAAAAGCTAAATAACTTATGCAGCGACACTTAGCTTAATTAATTTAGACCTTGAGTCAAACTATCAAGTAAAATGTTTTGATTTCTGCCATTCCTTGGAGCTATAGTTTTAAGAAATGAAGTTATTTATGGGGACAGTTCCCCATAAGCACGTTGAAGAAAACGAATATTTTTTTCTTAATTGCTGTCTTCATTAGACTGTATTGAAAGAGTCATATTGACAGGGAGTGAGAAGTATTACTCTCTGTGACATTTCATTGAAATATTGATTGGATTGTATTTAGTAGAAGATGCTGCTGTTGAAAATAGCCATCCTTTTTTTTTTTTTTTTTGAGACAGAGCCTCAAGCTGTCCCCCTGGGCAGAGTGCCGTGGCATTACAGCTCACAGCAACCTCCAACTCCTGGGCTCAAGCGAGTCTCCTGCCTCCGCCTCCCAAGTAGCTGGGACCACAGGCGCCCTCCACAACGCCCGGCTATTTTTTGGTTGCAGCCATCATTGTTGTTTGGCGGGTCCTGGCTGGGGATTCGAACCCGCCACCTTAGGTGTACGTGGCTGGCGCCTTAGCCGGTTGAGCTATAGGCGCCGAGCCATCCTCTTTTTTTTTTACCTAATCTTTTACCTATTTGTTTTTGTCAGCTTTGATCTATTCATACAGTATATAAACTACAAAATTCTTCTAGCAACAAAGCAGTATACTGTTTATCTTGCCACATTGAATAGATCAGGCTTTAAGAGCTAGACAGCTTGCATACGTGTACATAGAGTCCTGTCTGTGTAATACTGAGAAATGCCCGTCAAGAAAGATATTTAAAGGCTGGACACAAGGATTGAGTATATCTGGGATTTCATGCTGGTTTCCAGATTGGTAATCCTAAAGAGAACACCCAGCAAAATTATGCAACATTTTACAATTAAGTTTATGAGAAAGTTAAGATCGTTACGTTGGAATAGCCTTATTTGGGAAAGTAATCTTATTTCCCTCCCTTTTTCGGATGGGAGCGGGTCAGAGGATGAGTTGTTTGTAGGTCTGCATTGACTAGCTGAACTGACCCTAGGTTCTTCATTTGTAATAAAGAGAATAATCTCTAAGGCTGCCTACAACTGATTTGGACTTTAAAACTACCTCGGTTACTGCTGCCAACTGCCCAGAAATATTTTTGATACTTTTTATAACTGCTTCTGTACATTTATAAGGCTCTTAAGAAAACACGTGTGAACTTTATAGCCACATCTCATTTTAAATGATATGTGGTATTACCTGGCTTGATTTACATCAGTTAATCTCAAATGACTAAAACTAACCTCTTCAACAGGAAATCTACTCTATTAAATATTTTTAAAATTTAGATTCTGTGTGGCAGGCATCTATAGTCCCAGCTACACGCCAACCCAGGGGAAGAAGAGTTTATGGTCTGAGATCCCACTCCATGCTGTGGAGTTTAGATTTCATCTTAAAGTCAGTGGAGAAGCTATTAAGGTATTTTAAGTAGAGAGGTCAAAAAATAAGACTTTCTTTTAAAAAAATTTGTAGGACAGGGTATATGTGGTTATTACAAATGGGCTATAGTGCAGTGGTGTCATCATGGCTCACTGCAGCTTCAAGCTCATGAGCTAAAGTGAACCTCCTGAGTAGCTGGGGCAACAGGTGCACACCAATACTCCAGGGAAATTTTCCTATTCTTTTAGTAGCATTGGGATTTCACTCTTGTTCTTGCTCAGGCTGGTCTCAAACTCTTGGCCTCAAGCAGTCCTCCTACCTTAGGGTTAAAGGCATGAACCACTGCACCTGGCTTAAAGATGACTTTGGCAGCAGTGTGGAGATGGTTTGAGAAGGACGAGACTAGAGTGAATGAGACGAGTTTAGGAGTCTGGTTGTTGTAACACAGGCCTGGAATAAGAGAGATGTTAGAGAGTTGGCATTGAGGATGGAGGTTGAGGGCACATATTTAGGAAATGCATTTTCAGCCTCTAGTACAGCAAGTGTAGGAAAGATGTCAGTATGTGTTTAATCGCTTATTAAACATTTTGAGCACATCAGGGCCAAGAGTTTTTGGTATGTCATTAGAAACTTGCCTGTAGGCCAGGGGTTCTCAACCTGTGGGTCGCAACCCCTTTGTAACAACGAAAATGCATCCTGCATATCAGATATTTACATTACGATTCATAACAGTAGCAATATAACAGTTATAAAGTAGCAACGAAAATAATTTTATGGTTGGGGGTCACCACAGCATGTATTAAAGGGTTGTGGCATTAGGAAGGTTGAGAACCACTGCTCTAGGCTGATAGTAGTGAACACAGTCTAAGGGTCAGCCAGGGTCTACTGTCATAATCCATTTTTCTCTGTCCTGTCCATAAAGTGGTCTTGGAGTTTGAGATTAAGATATGTGTTTAAGGCTCGGCGCCTATAGCTCAACTGGCTAAGGC